AAACACCCGATTTTTTTTGTCCTCAGGCGCCGGTCCCAGCCACCCACTCACTGGTCCTGCTGCCCTGCCTCCCTTGCACTGGGGTCCCTGTCCCTTCAAGGCTTCCAAAAAGCACTCGCCCTCCGGTCCCACAGGGAAAAACGCGCAATATTCTTTGTCCTCAAGCGCCGGTCCCAGGTACCCGCTCACCGGTCCTGCTGCTCTGCCTCCCTAGCACCGAGGTCCCTGTCCCTTTAAGGCTTCCAAAAAGCACTCGCCAAAAAGAGAAAAAGAAAAAGGGGAAAAATGCGTGATTTCCTCCGTCTTCAGGCTCCGGTCTCAGGCACCCACCCGCCCGTCCCACAGGGAAAAAAGCGAAATATTCTTTGTCCTCAGGTGCCGTTCCCGGCACCCACTCACTGGTCCTGCTGCTCTGCCTCCCTAGAACCGGGGGGCCCTGTCCCTTTAAGGCTTCCAAAAAGCACTCACCAAAAAGAGAAAAAAAAGGGAAAAACGCATGATTTCCTCCATCCTCAGGCGCCGGTCTCAGGCACCCGCCCACCGGTCCCGTAGGGGAAAACGCGCGATATTCTTTGTCCTCAGGCACCGGTCCCAGTTACCCGCTCACCAGTCCCGCTGCCCTGCCTCCCTAGCATCGGGGTCCCTGTCCTTTTAAGGCTTCCAAAAAGCACTCACCAAAAAAAAAATAAAACCGCTCCGGTTTCTTTCCACCCACCGGGAGCCGGGGTGAGGGGCGCTCGGATCCCGCTGGGCCGGGGCTTGTATCTTACCCCCTTCACAAGGCGCTGGGTTCTTGCAGGTGTGGATGTGGTCTGGATGTTGTCCTGTGTCCTCTGCTCTCTATTTTAGGAAGAGTTTTCTTTGTTATATTTTCATAGCTCTATGTGTTTTTGGGAGGAGATTTCCACTGGTCTACTCACGCCGCCATCCTGGCTCCGCCCCCTCGATGCAATTTTAAATGTTATTGTTTTTAAAGTTTGTGATAGTTTGTTATTAGTGTATTAGTGTATAGAAGTACAGGTTTTTTTATACTGATTTTTTTAACCTGTAACTTTACTGAATTTGTTGCCTAGTTCTAACAGTGTTTTGATGTAGCTGTTAAGGCTTTTGATGTGTATTATCATATCATCTACAAATAATGATATCTTTACTTCTTCCTTTCCAACGTAGATTCCTTTTATTTCTTTTTCTTGCCTCAGTGCCCTGACTAGGACTTCCAGTAGTATGTTGAATATAAGCTGCAAGAATGGCAGCCTTGTCTTGTTCGTGAGGTGAGAGTGAGACTGGGACCGTGGGTGTAGTCAGAGTAGGGTGAGGGCCTCCAGAAAAAGACCCCTACCAAAACTGCATATTAAACAATTAAACAAAGACAGAGTCACATTAATTCTCTAACGTAAAACATCAAACTAGGAATATAAGCATTCTTCAAGAAAGATTAGGTAAAACTAAAAAGCCAGGAATAACCTGGCCTGGAATGTTTGAACATCCCCCAGATAAGAAAATACCTCAGCATAGCCCATGTCTTGTTTGTGTCAATTAAATGAGGCTCTTGTAAAATGTACGTCAGCCTGCTAAAAGGCCCAGTTTATCTTTAACTTTACCCAGATGCTGCTTTTCCTCCTCCAGCCCTAATCAAGTCAGTAACCCAGCTCACCTTGAACGCAAAACAAGTAGCCTTGACTGATGTGCTCCGAAACCAGGAAACTGCTATTCTGAGAAAGGATCAAAACAGTAAATTTCTTATGTTAACTCCACAAAATACTCTTGAGAAACCGATAAGAAACTTAGTTTCTCTTTAAAAATAAACACTTAGAGACCATCTGGTGGATCCACCTCCCTAACTCTTGGTCTCTCAACTGCCTATAAATCCCCTAGACAACGCGCCACCACGGACACTCTTGTCCCCTCCTGGCGTGAGCCGGGAGCCCTCTTCTGTCAATTTGTCTCTAAATAAAAGCCTGTACCTTGCTCTCCTACCTTGACTGTTTGTGAAGCTCATTCGTCGGCTTCGTGAACAAGAACCCCGGCATCAAGAGGAAAAGCTTTTAGCTTTTCACCATTATGATGTTAGCTGTAGGCTTGTGATCTATGGCCTTTATTATGCTGAAGTACATTCCAACTATTCCCGCTTCTTGAGCGAGTTTATTACCAATGGATTCTGAGTTTTGTCAGATGCTTTTTCAGCATCTGTTGAGATGACCACATGGCTTTTACCCATCTTCCTTTTGTTCATGTGCTGTATCACACTGATAGATTGATTTGCGGATGTTGAACCATCTTTGCATCCCTGTACTTGGCACCTTCTGTGTTCCTTGTTTTAACCGAACAGATGTCAGCTCTGTGCACTCGTTTGGTCAGGCCAGACATGGAGTCATCCCTGATGCTTTCCTCCCTACTCTCCCTTCAGCATCTTTCTCAAACCTGTTCCTTTCTCTTTGTCCTTCTGCACATTGCCTAGGTTTAGGCACTCCTTTCCTATCATGATTGGCAGAGGTCTCTCCTAAACTGATCTCCTTGCTTCCAGACTTTCCTGCCAAGGCTGGCTGCAGAAAGACCTGAAGCCAGATCTATGTGGCCCCCCTGCTGAAGCCCTTCCTTGGCTCTCTATTGTGCTGAGCCCCTGCTTCCCCTCCGGCCCATCTGCCATGGCACTCTGTACTTGGTGTCCCCGCTGCGGTTGCTCCTCCCTACGCCACGTGTCCCTGCACTGACATACCGCCTACTCTGTCCTGTGGCCATTCTGGGAAGCCTCCTTTGCTCCCTCCCTTCCCCCATCTCCCAGATGTTCCCCCTCCACCTCTAGCTTGTTGCTTGGAGACCAGGGTGGTAGAGTAGAAAATGGCTATGTTTGGGTTTGAATTCCAGCTCTGCCACTTGAGAGCTGTCCACACCGAGATGCTATTCCCTAGGCCTGTTCTGCACGGGTCAGGGGGAGTGACCAGACACCTTTGTAGAGCCTAGTGAATTAACTTTCACCTCAGCTCGTAGGGTTACAACCTCCGCACCCACCAGGAATCTGCTCAGCGATCTCCCCTGCACCATGAAAAGTAACCCTTCCCAGAGGTTACGCTTTAACAGTGCTGGCTGACATTGGGTGCCAAATTAGTGCCAGATATCTTTTAAGTATTTGGCCGGTGTTAGCTCATTCAATCCTCCCTGAGGTGGGGATGAAGTCACTTGCTTACATTCCTGCTGCTGGTGATTGGTGCAGGTGGGACCCTCAGCCCTCAGGTGGGCCTGAGAACCCGTTCTCCCAGCTGCTGCCTCTCTCTGATCCCTGCTTATTTTTTCATAGCAGTTATAAACACCTGTTGCAGGAATGAATAAAGTGAGGTGACATGTAAAATGTCCGGCCTGGCATGAAGGCAGAAAATGTTGAACGAATGGTTCTTACTCCCTGGCAGCCTCGAGGAGCTAAGGGCCCTCAAAGGGAAGCGTTTTCTTCTGGATCCCTTGTTGCCAGAGCTGCTTGTGTTTCCTGTCCAGACAGATCTACACGAACATCCACTGTACCAAGCCGGTCACCTCATTCTACAAGACAAGGTAAGGAAAATGGATGGCAAGGGGAGGAACGTGTGCGATAGCGGCCGCCTGGGATCTCTGCTCACCCCGCCGCTGTGCGCTTCCCTGCCAGGCCAGCTGTCTGCCTGCCATGCTGCTGGCTCCGCCCCCAGGCGCCCATGTCATCGATGCATGTGCTGCCCCTGGCAATAAAGCCAGTCACTTGGCTGCTCTTCTGAAGAACCAGGGGTGAGTGCCACGGTCATTCAGGAAGGGGATGGGGTCTGATCCTGTACTTTGTAAGAAGAAATGAACTCTATTCCAGTGGATTGGTAAAGGCTGAAAGGAAGATTTTCCTTAAACATTTCCTCTGGGCTTGGGGCAGCTCGTGCCACGGCCCCAAACTAAGCTTCCCTGTGGGTCGCAGGTGTGAGATGTGAATCCCATAGCCCTTGGAGCAGAGGCTCCAGGTCAGGTATCTCTAACCACTGACCCTCACAGGCCAGGTGACTATTTTCTGTGTCTTGACTTAATGTACATGTCATCTATGAGCTGTGGGCCCTTAGATGCTCCATGAATTCTCTGTGCACCTCGTCTGCCCTCTTCCCCAGGAAGATTTTTGCCTTTGACCTGGATGCGAAGCGGGTGGCGTCTATGGCTACTCTGCTGGCCCGGGCTGGAGTCTCTTGCTGTGAGCTAGCTGAGAAGGACTTCTTGGCAGTTTCACCCTCAGACCAGCGCTATTGTCAGGTCCAGTACATCCTGCTGGATCCTTCCTGCAGTGGCTCTGGTGAGATGTGGATAAAGTGGGGTGAGGAACCCGGAGCAGAGCAACCTGAGTGGAAGGGGCAGCAGTTCATTTGGGCCTTGGGTTTAGTTCTGACTCCATCATCACGTAGGCACGTGTTCTCGCGCAGTAAGTGGGGATTCCAGTATGAAGTAAGGCAATCTGTACTGAGAACCCCAATCCTTAGGTATGCTGAGCAGACAGCTGGAGGAGCCCGGGGCAGGCACCCCCAGCCAGGAACGCTTGCGTGCCCTGGCAGGGTTCCAGCAGCGAGCTCTGTGCCACGCGCTCACCTTCCCTTCCCTGCGGCGCCTTGTCTACTCCACATGTTCCCTTTGCCAAGAGGAGAATGAAGATGTGGTACAAGAGGCCTTGCAGCAGAGCCCGGGAACCTTCAGGTAGTGGGGCTCACCCAGGGTCTTGTGGAGGGAGCTGCTCCCTTTACCCAGAAGCCTGTCACTTCTCCTCAGGCTGGCTCCTGCCCTCCCCTCCTGGCCCCATCGAGGCCTTAGCACTTTCCCCGGTGCCGAGCACTGCCTGCGGGCCTCTCCTGAGACCACGCTCACTGGTGGCTTCTTCGTTGCTGTTCTTGAATGGGTAGACGTGCTGAGGTGAGTGAGAAGGGGGCTGCTCTGAACATGCTGGGAGATAGGGACACATCTCATCTGAGGACTTTTCTTCCAGCTCAGTCTCAGAGTCTGAGGCACTGGCTCCAGAACTTCCACCCAGTCCAGCCCCAAAGAGAAAGAAGAGGCGGCGAAAAGCAGCGGCCGCTCCAGGCACACCACCCTGCACATAGCAGGTGCTCAGAGCCGAGTCTTTGTGGGGAGGGATGAGGCCACTTCTCCCCTCAGTTTAACCCTGGGTCCTTGGTCCCAGGCAGCACTTTTGTTTTGAAAGGGTATGTCCTTTTTATTGGTGCAGGAAGGAACTGGTAACCCTGTTTCTCAAGCTGGAGAGACATGGATTTCTTTGTCTGTTGGGTCTCTTCCCTGGGTCATATTCATGCTGCTGAGAGAATTCGGCTACCCGCAGAAATAAAAAGACATGGTCCACAATAGGTCACAGTTTTTTTATTATTAATGACATAAGGAAGGAGGAAAATGTCACATTCATACTAAAAATTCCACCTAGACTCACAGGAATTAAGTTTTTAAAGGAAAATCCCAGCCTCCCATTCCTGTCCAGTGCACACACATGTACACACACACACACACACACACACACACTCAGGTTGGGCCAGGACACCCTTTCCTGGCAGTTCCTGGACCAGATATCCTTCCTGCGGACCGAGGTAAGGTAGCTCCGAGCCCTAAACTAAGAGGCTCTGCCTTATGTAGGCGATAACTAGAAGCTTGATGGCTAGAGCTGTACCCCACTCCCACCACTCCGACCCCTCCGGGTATCTGGGACTTGAAATTCACGCCCCTCCTCCGTGCCAGAGTCTTTAAGTATGTACGTATGGTCCGTGGGGATGGCAGGAGTCGTCCCCAAGACAAAGCAGTCCACCTGAGTCACACAGTGGGTGCGGGGGAGACTAGTTACATCTACACTTCATTATAAAGTAAGAATGACACTTTATGTGTGTCCACAGGAGCTCTAGTCCCTCAGGAAAGCTGCCAGGGACAACATTTGAGCCTCGTCACACAGGCATAACTTAAGTGTATAGCTAATTCCTAGTCAATAGCATTTACCACATCAATGAACCAAGCTTGAAGGAATTTAAAAGGCAATTTCGCTTAAATATAAAAATAAATTTTTATTGTTAAAAAATGTTTAAATATTCTTTTTTGAATTTAGACATATGCATTCATACTTCTCCCAAAGACGTAGGGCATGGCAGCACGGCTCCCGGGCCCAGGATGTGTGGTTTTGGAATGATGGAAGATGGGGAAGGGCTGGAGACCCTACAGGGAAGAAAACTTTTAGAATTTTTAAGTGTGGTTTTCTAACATACTCGGGGCAATCTGGCCTACAGTGAGTTCAGGTAGATGGGAGCAACAGCTGAGAGAAGAGGTCTTTCCTTCCCCTTGGCCCCATGTTCCTGGGCTGCCAGCCCTTAAAGTCAAACACCATTTAATAGCTGTAAAGTGGTGCTACTTTCCACATTCAGTTCTAGGCCCCAGAAATTTGAAACAGTAAGTCCGGCATTACCAACATGCCGCCACTCATACAATTCGATTCTTCCTCCAAACTCGATTCAAAGAGCGATAGACTTCAGCGTCAGACAAAGTAACAGGACAAAGCTTTACACATACAATCCGGAGAGGCAGCTGAGCCTGGTGAGGCCAGTGGCAAGGTGGGCCCAGGTGGCAGGTGAAAGTGGTGGCGGGCACCCTGCCTGCCCCAAAGGCTTCCCTCCATGGATTGAGGCATCGCCCCAGGATCTGCCAGACTAACAGTCTTGAGCCACCAAGCTTTTAGGGTCCAAACTGGCAGAGGTTTGTGGACAAAACAGTGACCTGGACTTGGCAGGAGGAAGCAGAACAGCACAGGCAGCACCACCCACAGGGAACTCCAAGGCAAAGCCAGATTCAAGGTCATTTAAAAAGATCCTACAAGGACCCAGTGAGGGGCAAAGCAGCAAGAAATGGGGAAACAGAAGTCCCCTTAAGGGACCAGAGGAGAACCAGTTGCTGGCCAAGCACAGTAAAGCTTTAGGGATAACCCACTTCCCTGACCCCATCAGATGCACACCAGAGCTGCTGCAGGTGGGCCAGCGCTGGACCCACCACCCTCCAGTGAAGACGGCTCTGGCAGGTGGGGAGAGGGAGGCCGCCTGACGAAGCTTATACACTAAACAAGTTGGGGAAGTAAACTGGACCGTATTACAGATGTTTCTTGGATTCTGTCCAGCCTCACCAGTGGAACCATTCAAGTAAAGAAAGGTATCGATCAGGCTTCTGCTCTGCCACATCCTGCCTCCCCTCCTGCAAAAAGCCTGAGGCTCTGCTTCCTCCAGGAGAGGGCGATGGCCTCCAGGGCTGCCCCTCCCTCCCTGAAGGCTGAAGCCAGAGATCTGCAGTTTGCTTTATGGAACAGGTCAGAGGCTCTTCCCAGCAGAAGCCAAAGTCTAGATCTGGAGAAGGGGTCCGGGGTGGGGTTGGGGTGGGGTAAGGGACATAGGCTACTTCTTGCGTATATGCTGCCTCCGGGCCTGTAGTCGTTGTCGGGCCCCTGGGGTCTTGGATCCTGCACCAATGTTAAAGGATGGGGCCGGCGATCCTGGAAAGAGTCAACAAGACCTCATCAGGGCAGCTACTACCAAAGACTGCTTCTCTGGGTGCCCTAACCTGTGCAGGGCCAGGCCAAAGAACACTGGGTGCTTCAACAGACCTTCCCAGGCTGAGTTCCTTCAGATGCCGAAGGCCCAGGAAGATATTTTTACCTTCTTTTTCGGTGGTGTGGGAAAAGTATACTAGAAATGGCTCCTCTCTGAGCTCTGCTACCTAACTCTAAACCTGGGCTGAACCAGATTCTCAGCCAGGGCACATCTTTCTCATGCTTAGGGGCCTGTTTTTCCCCAAAGGGGAAGGGACTCCACTCTCTTAGGCAGGAATAGTTATGTGTGGGATGGAAAGAGAATAAAGCCAGGGAAATAAATGCCCAGTTAAAGCTCAAAAAGCCAGGAGCAACTTGGCCTGGAATGTTTTAATTTCCCCAGAGAAAGGAGGGTACCTCAGCAGAGCCCATGGTTTTCTTGTGTTAATCATGCAGGCCCAGCTTATTTTTTTTAACTTTATCTATATGCTATTTTTTTTCTCCTTTGGCCCTAATCAAGTAGTTTGTAACCTGGGCAATTAATAATGGCAAGCAAGCTCAGCATAAACAACATAGTAACAGGCAGAAAGGATTCCATCTTAAAAATAAGATTGCATTTTAATACCCAGGAAGTTAAGAAGTAAGATTCTTAACTTGCTCCTTGGCAAACAGACAACTCAGCCCACCTTGTGGGCTGGGAAGGCAGCCTTGTTTGATATGCTCCCAGACTAAGAAGGCCGGGATCCGAAGGATAAATCAGAGCAGGAAGTTACTTGTGTTAATTCTAAGTATTCAAAGACCACCTATCAGGTCTAAACCTGCCAGCCCTTGGTCACATTCCTTAAGAATCCTTAAAAGGAGGAACCCCCACCTTACAGGGCGCTCCTCTCCCTGAGGTCGCCCACACTTTCTAAGTGCGTAACCATTTCACTTTAAACTCTCTTTTTCAACCTTTCCGGGTGCTGCTCTCTCTCTGAGTAACTTTAAATAAAACTTTTACTCTGCTTCACTACTGTATCTCTGCCTTTCAATTCTTTGTTGCGGTGGGGACGAGGACCGATGAAGATACACAGCGCTCCCCCAAAACCCCCACCCCGTCTTCAAGGAACATGCAGGTCATCCTGACTACAGAGACACACAGCTTACCAAAGGTTCCAACTCCAGCAAAGCCCTGCGCAGGTGTTGAGGACGCCCCAAAGGAGAGGCTGCTGCCTGATGCGCCCACCCCAGGGGCAGGGGTGTTCTGACCAAAGGTGGGTGTGGATGTGCCTGGAATGGAGAGACCGCAAAGAAGTGTGACAACTAGGCCCACAAGCAGAAGGTGCCAAAGCTGGTGGTAATGAACTGGGGAGAGGTCTGCTTGCAAATGCATCCTCATAGATCCCTTAGTCCACACCACTGTCTGGCTCACCCCTCGGTAAGGAAGCACATGGGGTGACTGGGTCCTAACCCCTGTGCTCCAGGTGAGCCTGCCCCTCCCCCACCAGCTACAGCAGAGCACAAGCCCCTGAGCTGCCTTTTGGCCACCTGAGTAGAACCTTTGCACTCCCTTGGCCACCAAAGCACAGCTGAGGGGGACACAGAGTGGACCGCCCTTCTCTCAGGACTAATGTTATGTCTCCTCCCCATTTACCTGCACCCTCTCCTCTAATTCACCAAGGCCCCACCCCAGAGTCAGCCCCCATCCTCCCGGGGGCTCACTCCAACTCGGTCTCCTGCGCACACTTGCCCTCCTGGGGCCTCCTGCGCAGCGCTGGGCTGCCCTCCACAGCGGCTGTGCAGGAAGATGCTCTCACACGTATCTGTATCTGTCTAGGCCTGAGGTGGGGGGGTGCCCCCTGAGGTGCTGACCTTGCATGTAATCTTCCCTACCTGACCTCTGGGGGGGGTCACACCTTATCACAACCAGAAACTGCTCTTGCCCCCCGATCTCAGCTGCAAGCACAGTGCTGTCCCTGCTCCTGTGCCCACCACGCCCACTCCAATCCTCTGCCTCATCTGGGTCTATAGTCAGTCCCCTGCCCCTCCTGCTTCCTGTGTCATTTAACCAGGCTGGGTTTACTCTCTGTCCACTTATTTTAGGTCCACACCTCAAGACTGAATGTTGCTGGGGAGACAGAAACAGTGCTGACCAGCCTTCCTTCAAACTCCTAACCACAATTTCCCAGACTTCAGAACTACCCAGCATGGCTCTCACATGTCATTTTCTCCCTGTCTCCAAAATGACTACTGAGAGAGGCCCTCCTTGGGACACATCTCCCCCTAACCCACTCCGACTGGCTCTTATATTCAGTGAAGAAAATGGAAGCTATGAGTCAAAACTCCTTATCATGCATCTTCCACATGGCAAATAAAATCACTTCCTTCTGCTTGAAATTCTATAGTGATTGCCCTTAGTACTTTAACAAAAACATTTAAAAAGGCTATGAATGATCTTCCCTCTGAGTGTCTATTACTGTCATTTTATACCACTTTGCCTTTTAAGCCTCTGGCCACACCTGGCTCTTGTCTGCTCCTGAGCACTTCAGGCTCGTCTCTGCCTTCAGGCCTTTGCTCCTGTGCCTGCAACGCCCTCACCCCCAGCCTCTGTCCCTACTCCCAACTCGGGTACTGTGGCCATGGCCTCAGTTTGCTATTGTCTCAGAAAGGCTGCCGCTGACGACCTAAGTAGCTCCTCCGGTCATGAGTTTACACTGCTACCTGACACTGTTTAAGGAGAACATGTGTGATGACATCTGTCTCTTCACGACAATGTACAGCTCTGAGAGTGGAGACTGTGTCCCGTGTCGGCACTTAAAACAGCACCTGGCACTGCAGACCGAGCCCATTCGAAATCTTACCTGCAAACATGGATTTGTTCTGAGGCGTGCTGCCCACATGGATCGCAAAGGGTGTGCTCTGGCCAGGTGCACCCAGGGAATTCTGACTCAAGCCTCCCCCAAAAGGGGTTGTAGTGCCAGTGGTCCCACTCTGTCCTGCCCCAAAACTGAACACCCCAGCGGTGGAGCTGCTGTGGGGGGCAGCCACGTTCATCCCAAAGCCCCCACTGCCAGCGGGGCCTGCTGACACCCCAAACGTGAAGGGCGATGAGGTGGTGCTGCCAAACACTGAGCTGCTGGTCCCACTGCTGGTGGTCTGGGTTGTAGCTCCAAAGCCCGAGGTGGTGGCTGCACCAAAGGAGAAAACAGCTGTGGTGCTGCCAAAAGCCGGCTGGGCGCTGGAGGGGATGCCAAAGGCAGAAGGTGTAGGTTTCAACCCACCAAAACCTGACTGCACAGGGCTGCCAAAGGCTGGCTGGGGTGGGATCGGTGCTGGAGCTGCAGGTGGGGCCGGGGCTGCTGAGGTTCCAAAAGGAAAGGAGCTGCCGAAGCTGGGGGCCAAGGCTGGCTTGGCAGCCCTCGTCTCCTGCCCGTCAGCAGCTCCAAATGTGGGCTGCAGGATGGCTCCAGGATACGATGGGATGGGGGGCTTGATGCCGGAACCAAAGGGAATGTTGAAGGCTGGGGTGGTAGTGCTGTTGAATGTCGGTGCAGGCTGGCTCAGGGCGATGGGAGCAGACGTTGTGAGGGTGCCACCAAAGCCAGTGGTGCTGCTGCCAGCAGCTGTCTGGACGGCGCTGGGCACGGACTGGCCAAAGGTGATGGCTGTTGTTGGAGCAGGTGTGGCAGTCAGCTTGCCAAATTGGAATATGGAGCCCATGGCTGGGGTAAAGCTGGCACCAGAGTCAGGGGGGGATGCAAAGAGGACAGGCTGGGTAGTGGATGCAGTGGTGCTGGTCATGCTGGTCACAGTGCTGGTCACACTGCTCACACCAAAGGCAAAGACAGGCTTCCGGACAGAGTCTGTGGCTGTGCTGGCGGTGGTCCCAGAAGCCGTTGCAGCTACTGCTGAGGGGACACTGACACTGGCCTGGGCAGGTAACAGAGGGGCACTCGTGCTAGTGGCTGGAGTAGTTGTCTGAGTGAAAGAGAAGGGAGTTGACAAGCGCACAGGTGTAGGTAGCCCTGTACTGCTAAAGACAGGACTGAAAGTGAGGGGGAGGCTGCTGGTAGTTGGGGTGGGGGCAGAGCTGGAAGATGCCACTGTTGTGACATGGGAAGGGCTGGATGGCACAGGGCCCTCATTCCCACTTTTTGGTGGAGCCGCAAAGATTGGCTTGAACATGGCAGGTGCTGAAGACACAGCAGGAGCTGCAGAGGCAGAAGGGTTAGCAGGTGGGCTGCTCAGCGTTCCAAACAGAACACTGGGCTGCAGGGTGGGGCCTGGGGCAGGTGGGGACTGAGGCTTGGAAGATGTCTCAGCCTGAGGGGCTGGAGGTGACTTGGTGGCATCAATGGCTGGTATTGTGGGAGAGGCAGGGGTCAGCCCCGAGAAAGTGGCTGTGGATCTGGAGTCTGAAGAGAGGCCTGGGAGGGGCTCTGGGTGTGAAGAGCCTAGAGGGCCCAGAAGGCCAGGTGTCTTCAGGGACGAACAGGCCGTGGTGGTTGCCTCTCCAGCAGCTTCTGGGAATAAGAACAGAAAAAGTGAATTCTGGTACCTCAAATGTGATGGTATTTGGTGCTCTAGAAGCCTTGCTGGGCCAGGATTCAGGAGTCAACAAATGTGACTCATCTATACCACACATTCTTAATGTATTCATTCCCCATATCAAAGAAGTGCTCCTTATTTCTACCCTTCACAGATAAGACAGACAGCAGGGGATAAAACTTGGCCTAGTAGGTGTTAAATGTGTGGACACTAAGGAAAATCCAACCATCTGAACTCAAGCACAGCTCAGAGCAGCTAAGGAATGGGGCTGCAAACCAACAGCCGTGTGCCTACCAAAATGAGGCTGCCCTCTCCAGCTTTAAGGGCGGCAGCCCCTTCCCTACAATCTGCTCCTGATGAGAGGGTTCTGAAGCCGTCAGGCTTGCACCAGCTCAAGTGTACTAAGCCAGAGCAGCTTCAACCTTTCTAGTGACTGACTGGCACACTGCTTTCACTTTAGCCTAAGCAGAGGCTGATGGCACTGTGTGCTCCACAGAAAGCTCTTCCCCTCACCTGGGAAAGATGGTAGACCCAGGAAGTTCGGCATCTTCTTCAAGCTCTCCAGCAGTGGGTTAGAACTTGGGGCTGGGAGGGAGGCTGAGGAAGCGGCAGTCCCAGCAGCAGGCAGGGTGAGGGTAGAAGCTGGTGAAGTGGCAGGTGGGTTCTCAGTGACAGTGCTCGAGGCAATTTCTAAGGAAAAAGGAAAGAAAGGATTGTCCTCCCTTGTAGGAGAATTCTTTCCAGGTTAATCGCAGAGCACGGGGAGGCTTAGGGACTTGGGGGGACTCATGTAGAAATGCTTCCTCTCAATCTCAATGCTCACTGTTCTCGGATTCCACTGAATACCCAACAGGTGGATTTCTGAGAGACAGACCAAAATAAAACTGAAGGAAACCCTCTCTGGAGTGTGAAGTTAACCTATATTCCTTACCAGTCTTATCCTCGAAGACCTTTTTAAGCCATTGTAACGATGCTTTCTTCTCCAAGTCTAGATCTTCAGCAGTGATTGAATAACCAAGCACGGGAGGTGGAGGCTACCAAGAGAAAAAGGAGAAGCCAAGCCAGTCAAAAGGAAGTGAAAGAAACCTGTACTGACCTTTCCATTCCTAAGACTCAGGGGAGCCAGGCTAGAGTGAGCAGAGGCGGGTGGACACCCCATACCAAGATCAGTGGGTCCCCTCGCCTGGAGGGCAGCAGTTGAACCTTCCGTCTGCGTAGCCCGGAGCTCCTGGGTGTAGATGGAGAATCCCAGGAGTTCTGCTTCTTACATGTGGTTGTATCTGCAACTAAAGAATCAGACTTACTTTTTTCCTCCTTTCTTCCAGAAATGGAGAGGTTTGTCTATCCAGCCCAGTTTTTAATACTGAACTTTCACTAGGTGTCTCTGAGATTCTATCTTCCATGGTTTGGACTCTTGGATGGTGTTGGCAAGATTATTTCTAACAGTCAAGAAGACATGAAGTGGTAATTGTTCCAAATGCGTGCGCATGGTTGTTTACTGGACAGAAATTGCCTGGACTGCTCAGATTCCCCCACCTAGGCTAACCTTACCCCGAGCCCCCCAGGTGGCCTGGGTTATGCTATACGAGTCTGGGCCACCTTTCTCCCTTACCAGACCATAAAGCCTGAAGGACAGAATCATCTATCTCTGTAACTACCAGGCCCCACACAAGTCAAGGCTCAGTACATGTTTCCAGTGGGTTGTGGTCCATGTACCCTCCATACACACTACCGCCAACACATGCCATGTGTTCATCAACTTACCCTGTTCTCCCTGGGACTCCTTGTCTGTTACCAATGGAGCTGAAGAGCCAGAATGATGAGAAAGCTCTTCTTCTCTGTAGGAGGAAGAGGCACAATTAAGTTTAGAAAAGTGCTGGATAACTTCTTATACCCTCCTAACTACCAACTGGCCAAACAAAGTCTAGAACAACCATGACTAAGATCTCAGTGTGTCAAGACAACAACAAAAAAAGAAGTCAAAGAAAATTCCTAAAGAAATGAAGGGAGGCAGTTCACAGTCACCACAAAGACACCTTTGTCTTAAAACAAGCACAAAATAATCTTTAGAACCTTACATGACACCTGCCAAATTTCCAAGAGTTCTAGTCACACCTCTGTCTCTAAGAAAGCAGCATTGTAGTCGGGCACCTAGAGGGTCAGCTGGCGTCTAGAACGTGAAGCCTGCTGCCCACTCCCATCAGTCACTGTGTTCACTCTGTCCCGTGCGGCCCTTCCCCTTACACCCCAGCCCCTCACGCTGCAGCATGAGGGGGAGCAGAGGCCAGTGTGGTCAGTATGTGACAACTGCAAGAGACGAGAGGAATTCAGGGCAGCACCATCTCTGCCCTTTAGATGTGAACCGCTTTGATTCTCCAAATAAGAGTCTCAGAAAGCCTAAGAGCCAAGTCAATTTCCCTCCTTTCCTACCCTCTCATTAATCTACACAGCAAATCACCGATTACCTTATTTTCTTTGCTGGCCTCTCTGGTGTCTGCGAACGAGATGAGGCAGGGCTGGAGAAGGGTGAGGCACTGGGACCCCTTCTCTTCCAGAGCTAAAAGCCAAACACAAATCACGTCACCGACCCTATGGAATAACATAGGATCTGACCGTCAACATAATTCTGTGGCTCTAATCCATCACTGTATATAAAGTCTCCTTTTCAAGTGACTAGAAAACATTTCTTTGTGAAGAAGGACTTCTAAAAAGTGAGTCACTTGCCAGTATTAACTATGGAGAATGAAGTCAGAAAAAGTAATGGAATGCTGCTAATAAATGGCAGAGAAATGAGTGCACTTTCTGCATACCCTGAAGAGTGGAATGTCATATGCACTAATGGCTGAGAGCGAGCTCTGATGCATACAAGTTCACTCTGTACTTGTGTATGGAAATGATAAAAGTAAACTCAGAAACTGTTCCAGTGAAGATAAGGGAGTAAGCTAGTTTAGCCTTGCTTTCATTAAATTTTCACTTTTATTAAATTTCAGAAATATGCTATTGTGATTCTGCAACATCTATGGTAATTACTGTTACATGATAATTATGCATACAGCCATCCATACGTGACTACCCATGATTGAGGATAATCCAGTTCAACAATTACGGGATAAGTGTTTTCTCTCTACTTTATAGACTGTGCATACACATACAACACAGATGTGATTAAAGATTTATATTTAGAAGTGTAACAAACAAAAGTACTATAACAAAACAGACCAGCTATTAGATAAGGTTGGGTAGGGAGAGACTGTACCAGAGAGAGAAGACAGAAACCGACAGACTATTACATAAAACTAAGAACCTTTCTCTATAAAAACACTGTCACATGGGAAAGAGACTGTACTGTACACCCTTTGTGCCATTTGAATTTTCAACCAAACTAATGTTTGTATGAACTATAAATAAAATAGGAAACCAAAACACTCCAAAACAAAAAACCATAAGCAACATTAAAAAGCAGGTCTTTTCAATTAAACTGATGAGTTAATATCTGTAATATGTAAAAATGGAGTCTTGCAATTCCATATGAATATAATGAAGGTATCAAATGGCAAGTGGGCAAGGAATATGTAACAAGGCAACTCATAAAAACAGTCTATGTCTCTGGCAGTTAGTTCTGCATTGGAATTCCATTTTTATTTGCGTAGTTCCTACTTCATAAGGATTTGATGCCTTCAAACTTTACAAAGAATGTAAATATAAGTATGACGGTTCCATCATCAAGAAATTTACAATATGGAAAAGGGACAGGACAGGACATGAAATGATTATAGCAACCAAAGATAAAAGAGGTCTCTGCACAGGGGCCTAAGAAGAGATTATACAGAGTTCAGTTAGAAGAATCAGTTGATGAAGGTGGCATTTGAGATGGTCCTTCATGATTTGACTTAAAAAAAAAAACCACTTGAAGACAAACTTTATAGGCATGCAGTGGGATGAACATGTCATTCCGGATGGAGAACAGAATGAAGAAAGGTAAGGAAGCAGGAAAGGGGAAGCATTAGGTGCTCTTATGAGACATTTTGGTTTACCTTAATTATGGGGTGTATATATATATATAGGGATAAAAGCTAGAAATGCACTCTTGAGGTTTGGCAATTTAAGGCCATTGTAAATATTTCTACTTTGGAAAAAAGTATGTCCTGTTAAGACAAAGAGAGACACCAATGCCACACACAAGGAGGTCAGAGGACTGTTCACTTTCTATAATTAGTACCAGTTTAATGCTGGTAATGATTTACAATATCAAAGCTAGAACTTCTAATTTGCACAGATGTAGATTTGGATATTTACTAGTGTTCCTCTGGAAAAATTAAGTTAGGTTAAATAGCCATGCCACCACTCACTCCAAATATGAGGGCTGTCATCTGGATTGACCACACTATATTCACTATTCACTATCTGTTCTTTAAATGAAGCATCTGTGTAAAGAAGGTTCATATTTAGTCTCCCCTTCCTGAGACCTACTTCTGAGAACTTACATATTCAAACATCACACATCTATAGGGGGCTGCTAACTACTCACAACAGAATATCCAACAACTGTCACTGTCAGTGAGTGTACATGTTGTAGTAGGTCACAGGCTCCACTGGTAATGGGAACTTTACAACAAAATGTGGCAAAGGCCTACTGTGGTGTTCTAGATCAGCCATCTGCTGAGGACAAGCAGAAAATGCTGAAAAAAATAAGAAATGCATCTGTTTGAAGGTATGGTGGTATGAAAGAGCTACGAAAGCAGTGAGACACTGGGGACACAAGACAGAGAAGAGGAGCCCAGAGATAAGCCTACATTCAGGTCTACATTTTCCCACCCAGAGATGAGCCTACATTTAGGTATATATTTTCCCTCAGGTGACTGCCACTTCCACATGGAAAGCTGCAGTTGAGAGGCTAAGAGAAGCTTTCACCAGTCTCACAGGGCTGAAGAGACAAAACAGAATCAGAGCTTTCCAAAGTTGAGGGATCCTAACAAAACCTCAGGCTTCTGGTTGGGATTGCAAAGGCTACATAAGAAGATACAAGGCAAATTAGAAATAAACCAGCCCCCACAAGAACTGACAACTCAGAATTCATGTCAATCCCAACTAGACAGATGAATCTGCTCCCACCCTGGCTGCCTGCCAGAGGCAAAAGTGAAACCTTTCTGGAGAAAAATACCATCATTCAGAGCTTCAAGTTTTTGTTACATTGTTTTGTTTTTTTCAATGTCTGACAGAGAAACAAAGCAACACATAAAACCAGGTATGTAAGATAATATTTAACCAATAAACAAATGGACAGAGGCCAGAAGATTCAAATACTGGAGCTATCAAGACTTTAGAGGAACAGTTTACTGTAATTTAAATGACAATATGGAGATTCTAGGTGATTTTTTACACCTAGAAATGGTAGGTGTAAAAATGAGTAACTGAAATTAAGAATGCTATGGTGAGTTAAAACAGCTGATTCCACAAAGCTGAAGAAATTAGTGAACTATAAAACTGAAGAACTGAAGGTTGAGAGACAAAATGATGGGAAACATGAAGAGACACACATAGTACACAGTGAAGACATCTAACATCCTAGAATACTAGAGAGTGGTGAGAAAATAGGGCAGAACAGTATAAAAGATAATGGCTGAGGGCTTTTCAAAACCATCAAAGTCATCAAGCCACACAATAAATTTCAAGCAAGATAAACCACAACTGAGCACTTCACAATAAAATTTCTTTACAAGTGAAGGCGGAATACTTACCAAAACTAAACATGTGCTGGCCCATAAAGCAAATCCAAAACATTTCAAGGATTGATTAATACATCATGTGACCTACCAGCATTAAGCTAAAAGCCAGTAATTAAAAGATAACAAGAGATTTCCCAACCATTTAAAAATTAATCAATGTACTTCTAAGTAACCCATGAGTCAAAGAAGAAATCACAATGGCAATTCGAAAATATTTTTAACTGAAAGAAAATGAAAAAATCCTTCTATTTCAAAACTGGTGGGATGAAGCTAAAGTTGAATTTACAGTAAATGTATAAACTGCAAAGCACACATGAGAAAAGAGAACAGGCTGAAACACTAAGAATCTAAGAATCAATATTTAAAAGCCAGAAAGGGATCCTAGCAAATCAAACATGAAGAAAGGAAGAAGGAAATAGTATCTATACAAGCAGAAATTAAAGAAACAGAAAAATATAAGAAAATGGCTCCTAAAATTGGTACACTGACAATATAACTTTGGAAACAGAACTTCCTTAATCCAATAAAGGTATCTACAAAGAATGTCTATCTATATTCAAATGTCATATGTAATACAAAACTGGAAAGTGTTCCATCTGAGATTAAGTAAAACAGGACAAAAATGTTTGCTATCACTTCTATTCAACATTGTACTGGAGACCTTAGCCAAGTGCAATAAGGAATAAACAATAAAAGAATGGGAAAGAAAGGAAAAAGTGTCATGATTGTAGACATAACATACATATAAAAATACTAAAGAATGTACAAATATTCAGAGTTCAGCAAGTTTTCTGAATACAAAACTCAGCTGCATTTCTAATTTCCAACAAATTTTCAATGTACTATTTATAACAGCATCAAAAACATACACCTAGGAAAAATTTAATAAAAGATAGAAAAATCCACTATACAGAGAAGTTGATGATGTAAATAAGTGAAGGACGTACCATGTTCATGGATTTTAAGATTCAATATTGTAAAAATGTCAATTCTCTCCAAAATAACTGTTAGATTAAAGGCAATCCCAATCGATATCTCAGGAGGTGGTTTTTGTTTTTGTTTTCATTGAAACTGAGAAGTTGACTCTAAATTTATGTAGAAATGCAAAGGGTCAAGGTCCAAGAGACTTCAGAAGAGGAATGAGAGAAATGATACAGTTGGGTGACTTATTCTACTAAATATTAAAACTTAAAGATTGTATAGCATAGGGTAGAAAAACAGACCAATGGAACAGGACAGAATCTAGAAATGAATCCACATACATATGGACATTTAAATTATGATAAAGCTGATACTGCAAGCAATAGGGAATAGAACCATTCTTTCAGTGAATGTTACAGAATCAAATGTATATTACATGGAAAAAATACTAAGATTGATCTTTACCTCATACCACGTAAAAAAAAAAACAACAAGAAATTTCAGGTGAGGATCTAAATGTGAGAGGAAAAATAATAAAGCTCCTAGAAAGGAGCATTAGACAGGATCATCATGACTCAGTAGGCAAAGGTTTCCTAAACAGCTCCGACAAAATACACTAAACATAGTGAAATGACTGAAAGAGAATGAAATGGGGGACACTTATTTGTTCCAACATATATAATTCAGAAAGCTTGCATCTAGAACATATAAAAAACTTGTATACGTCAGTAAGAAAAAGATAGAGAACCTAATAGAAAAGTCAAGAAACTTGCACAGGCACTTCATAGAAAAGGATGTACAAACGGCCAATGAACTCATACTTTTAACTCATTAGTAATCAGGAAAATGCAAATTAAAACTACAATGAAATGCTACTTCACACCCACTGAAATGGGTCATTAAAGAGACT